AGCATGCAGCAGTTCAATAGCAAGAAATAAGTGCTGTGGTGTAGACGGATAGAATGAGTACAGCAGTGTGTGTGTGTGTGTGTGTGTGTGTGTGTGTGTGTGTGTGTACAGATACAGAAAGGTTGGCGTCACATATGATTGGATGTGTCGGCTTAAGCTACAGCAATTCTCAGTATTTACTATTAACTACTGTTAATGTTCAAGTGTGTGTGTGAGTGAAAACAGAGTATCAGCATTTGAGAGCACCTTTTAAAGAATCTTATGTGGTATGCAAAGCCAAAGCCTAACATTTGGTCATGTGACAACACACGTGTCGCGTGAGGTTCCATGAGGTGCTTTCTCTCTGTGGTTCCCTCCTGTTACCACAGGCATTAATCTCTCTGCGCACAGACGAGGCAGCACAGAAAGATGGAAGCTCTGTGTGTAAATGGTTTCATTTTGTGTCAATGTCAGATGCCTCAAGTCTGGCAGACAGCATTCTTCCTTTGCCTTTCTCCTCCCCTCACCTGTCTTACTCTCTGTTTTGTGTGTATGCCATTTATGGATATCACTCAGTCTGGCCTGACCTGAGTAATGTGTGCCAGATCCGACTCTGAAGAGAAAAGCTTTTCATTTCCCACCATATGCCTATGCTTCCCGAAGGACAGCAGCCAGGTCCGCCTCAAACCACTGCAGAGATATTGTCCTGCCATCAGACGGACTTCTCCATTCTGGGGGTTAAGAATGGCCTGAAAGAGATGATGAAATATATAGTAAGGCAGGGTGTGACATAGACCGTGTATAGAGTGCAAATGTGTTTCAGCCAAAGAGTGGTATTTTCCATGATCAGAGGTTGAACTGTCCTCATGCTTCCCCGTAAGCCGCTCGAGCTGTCTGCTGATAAATGGGTTAAGGTGCAGACTTTTTTTTTTTTTTTCTCTCTGAGCAGGGTTAAAGTTCTCTTTTTGTGCAGAGTTTGCATTTCGGTTGCCCTGCACACTTCCTCCTATCGCACATTTTTATTCTCAGTCTATATTTTAAACTGGATGACTTGGAGTCATGTTCCAATTATCATGCAACACTTTTGAAAGACAATGCATCACATAACCTCAAACTATCTCACACTGCAAACTCCTGAGTGAAGTTCAGTGATTGGCGAAATCAGCATTGTCAACCTTTGCACTTTCTTTTTATGGGTGTTAAAAAAAAAAAAAAAAAAAAAAAAGGAGTGGTGTGTCAGATCTTCTTTGGTCAGGCTGATGAATCTGTTGTGTTAAGGTAACCACCCCTGACTTAGTCTCATATTTGTGTCAAAGTGTAAGCCGTTCATCAGTCACTCTGTTCCCATTTCCTGTGAGGGCCGATGGCTTGGTTTTGTGCCCATCTTTCTGTGTCTGTTTAGAAACACACTCATGCACAAACATTTTCAAAAGAAAATACTCTCCTGCTTGTGTTTCTACTTGTAGTTTGATTGCTGAGAATTTCAGCTCACGAACAAAGGAAAGTGCCTGTGGCTAGTTGGGGCTAGTTGGCATTCTTTGCAGCTCCAGATAAGGGACTAATCAATGAGTATGACCTTATTCTTAGTCAATAACCCCCTTTCATTGCTTGGAAGAAGAGGGAGGGTACCTTAGGATATTTGTGTGGTAACACAATCACCACTACATATAAACAAAGAGAGAAGAAAATGCTTCTGAGCCTTCTTTGGAGGTTATCTGCCAGAGAGATTGTAAATAAACTGCTGTTTGTTCTTGCTCATATGTACCCAGAATCTCAATGATGTACCATCAGTAGGATCCTCTCTGTGCGCCATGAGCAGAGAAGACCGTTCTACATTACCTTTAACTGATCTGACAAAAGGCCTTTGACCTTGTCAGCAGAATATGTCTGCTCATGCTCCATTGGGCCTTCTCCCATAGCCTCTTGGATGATTGGGTTCTCTTGAAATGTGAAGGATACCTTGAGAGCAAAGTGACCTGTTCTCAGAGACCTCCCTGACTAACTGCGAGTTGCAGAGGGCTAAACACTCGCCTCCACACTGTTTGATTTCTTCCCCTACGGGATCACTGTGTTCCACTGATGATGCAGTTTGCCTTGACCAAACTCTTCGATCTACAGTAAGTCCAGGCAAAGATCAAGGTTCATTGGTTCCTAATCAGGGAAATGCTGTGTGCTGACAATGCTGCACTGGCTTGTCACTCAGAGAGGGAACTGCAAGAACTCATCAGCAGCTTTGCACGTCTGAATTTGAGTTTGGTCTCAACAAGCATTTTCCATCTGTGACCGCAGCTTTTAAGGCGTGGAGCTTTAACTGTGTACTGATAAAAAAAAAAAAAAAAAAACCTACCCGTTAAGGATGAGCCCCATACAGTCCACCCACATGAACAAGGACCCAGGCCTCAGAGCTTACCAAGTACATTTTTATGTGGAAGTGAGACTTGGACAAGGCCTGACTAAGCTTGTAGGAAAGCAGGACAGATGTGGAGGCTGCCATGCAGGGTACAAAGGGTCACTGTTTTGATGTGTATGAAAATGATATGATTCATATGCTATAGCCTTCACAGTCACCAGATTCTGGAGTGATTCATTATGCCTAAATCAAAGTTCCTGTTGGATGGTTGAACAGCGTCTGAAACCCCACACCTTTCCAACACCAGAACTGGCAATAATCTTTTTTTTTTTTTTTACTGACAACTTTCTGAAACTTCGTCCTACCGACCTACCATTTTCAGTCAACACGGAAGCTGTTGCTATGGGGCATTTAAGTTCATCACAGGCAATCGAAGAAATATGCCAGCCTGCACAGCTGTGTCAATGTGGGGGGAGAGGAGGGAACACAGCTGAGGGATGGCAACTGTAATGCAGCTGCACTGTTTGCTTTTACCTGTGACACCTACAGCAGGGCCCTGCAGCTCCAGCTACTGCAGGTGGCACTAAAAATAAATCCTAAAAATTAAATATAGCAAACAAACCAGTCTCCTTATCATTACCTTATACTTAACGGATTGCGTGTGCCAGGATTATGCCGTGAAATCGTGGCAAAAGGCCTTAAGGACCTCATGTGACCAGTAAAAGGTCGTGACATTAGCCTGTGGGTACAGGGAGTGGCTGTACTGAGTGCTTTTAGTGGTCAAACAGTCTCTTTCTCTTGTAAAACAATGGTTCTCCTTGACTGAGCTGTGTACTTGACTGAAGGCTAGTGAGCTACTGTGGCACGTACCAGAGAGTGTGATTCATATTCTTATTCTGCCAAAGTCAGCAAACCAGCCAAAGCTTCTTTACGGATTATCATTACTATTAATTGGCTACGGGCTTGATCGTTGATGATGTCATTTTCACGTTCACTGTGTATAGTAGATGCATTTAAATGTGTTTTTTTTTAAATAGATTGTTGTATGTCCAACTTGTTTTGTCACCCCAAAGACCCTTGATCAGCATCTCTGTTATGTGACATCAGATTAGCTATTGGTAGATTTATTGTATGTCAGTAGGACACAGACTGCAGCAGGGCATTGTGGGAATGCTGATCTAGTGGGTTGTGGAGGATTAGGGTCACCAGGAGTAAGGTGCTCAGACCTCCCTTCCTTTTCTACAGTCTCGTGTACTCATTCTGAAGTTCAATCTAGGAAATGTGCCATATTTCATAGATACATATGAATGGATATCATAATATAGTTTGTGCTGCTAAGACATCTTACTGTGTGACAGCATAGCTCACCATAGGGTGTCCTTTTCCCGTCACAATGCAGTGGCCTGTTCAGTGCACATGACGCCTTATTCATAACCGAAGAATTCAAATCCCATGTATTCCATACCCAGTGAACCGTCACTTTTCTCCCAGCAGCACACACAGAAGGAGTCTCGAGGTTAGTTGGTTCAAACTCAGCAGGTCTTGCACCCATCGCCCTGCTCTCCACTCATTGGCTCTGTCATTCCAGCTGCGATAGTGTCTGTGAACAGAGAGCATTATTCATGTCCTCAGAAGGGGGCAAGTCCTAATTGAAATTCCGGTCTTTTCCACTGGAATGAAGCGGGGCCGCAGACACCCACTGTATTATGCTGGCCCTGTCACCTTGAAAGGCCCATCTGGAGACTGTTCACATTCCTGGGATAAAGAAAAGAACCATTAGCGGAAAAAAAAAGAAATTGTGATATATAACAAAAAAGGGATGAATGAAGCGGGACAAAAGATTTGGGTGAGGTGAGAACAGCGGCATCACAGTTGTGCTCACTTTCTATGGTTTGATGTGAAGCCATCTTCAACACTGCAGTAACTAAAGGGCTGGACTGTCTGTGGTTGCTGGCTGCCAGTGTGGTGTGCATGCTAATGACTGGGTGAATGAATCAGTGCCATTCTGATAGAGGAGAAATGAGTACAAGGAACCTCTTTCTAGTTAGTTCACTCTCACAGCAGCCTACTGTCTCTGAACAACAACTGTACATAGTCATTTATCGCTTTTATTTAACCTCTTTGTATGTACTGTAGCTCTAAAAGTGACCTATATCTCTAACTGACCTTATGGCATATTGATTTTTTTTTGTTTAATTAATCAATTCATTGTTTGATTAATCAATTAACTATTAAGTCTTTATCTCCTATCTCTTCTTTTATTGGGGGGCACTGGCTACTACTCTTGCTTAGTAAAACAACTAGTAGTAAACTAATAATAAGGTGTTTCTCTGTATTAAAAGTCACAGTATCTGTGCAATAGTAGTCATACTGTTTGATGATCTAGGAATTATGTCTGTGTTGCATCAGAGCAACAAAAACCTCTCATCATGAGATCATCGTTGTCGTCAGGAGCCATGTTCTGGCCTGTTTCTGTCAGCACAAGGACAAATCAGATTACTGTTTGGATCCGTTGGGTCTGTTTATGTTATTACTCCTGGTGTTACGTTGTCAGGAAATCTTGGAAATGTGGCATTTGCCCTGTTGTCATACATGCCCATTTTGCGTTTTTGTCCCTTGCAGAAAAACCTAATAACCTTTCTTTGCGTCTCTTTTTTGTTCCCCCTGTCAGGGATTGAGCTGTGCCTGCCAGGATGGCGTTTTTCCATGACCATGGTGGCCAATTTTGTGGTGTTGGGTGGTCAGCTGCTGATGCCTGGGGTGGCCTACCTCTGTCGCGACTGGCAGGTACTTCAAGCTGTTATCATCTGCCCCCTGCTGCTGATGCTGTCCTACATCTGGTAAGGAAATAACTTGAGCATCTGCTGCTTTGGCATAGACTTGTCTTGTTCAAAACCCTGTTTAAAAGGTGTTTTTAAATCCTACACAAGACTCTATTAGTGCTGAAATATGTGGTTACATCTGCAGTAAAAATCTACATGGGTTACATCTTAGGTATCCATTGTTTTATAGTCTCAATAAAACCTTGTTAAGACAAAGATGCTTCCACAGATGGGGAAATGTTATAAACAAAGATTGGAGAAAGCCTTGCCTCCAAGGACATTTTCCAGCAGTGAATTCCCAGCTGAATTAAATGTAACATCTTTATGTTAACTCATTTGCAGTGACCTCTCCTGTGACTGCAGTCTCTTTCGCTGAAGCTCAGGCAGTAAATACTCATGTATTCCCCTCCATTTATTCTGCCACCAAGCACAGCGCTCCACAGCACTGCTGTAAGTCAGCAGAAGAAATCCAAGAATATAGATTTTATCAGTGTATCAAAGACCTTGGCTTTCTTCCATGGTGTACCTGAAGAACAAAGTGGGGTTCCACTGAGAAACAATCAAAAGCACTGCGAAGCACTAAACTGATCAAACATCAATATTGGTGATATACTGCTCTTTAATCAGTGTGGGACACGGAGCAGACCGGATGGGGGATTGATGGGGATTTTCCACACTAGTGAGATAATACAGTGCAGGAGTCAGACACCTTAGGCATAGTCACAGGCATTAGTCACTGTTACAGTGATGAATGAGTGACATTTTTTTAATTTAAAAGTAATTCTTTTTTTTTATGTTGAAGTGTCATCAGATCCAGTCAATGAAGGAAGATTCAGGCAGATTAGAGCTACTTTCAAAAAAATACTTAGACATTTTCTCTCTTCACAAGAAGCTGCTGATGTGAAAGAGTCTGCGCAAAAAGAACTCAGAAGATCAAGAATTGTTGATTTGCATTAATCTGCAAGCGTTATAAACTCAAAGAATTTTGATATTCATAGACAAACTGTCTATAAATGGAGATGAGTTAGAATTGTGGCTACTCTCCATAGAAGTGCGTATGTCCAGCTAAGATGACTCCAAACACACAAAACAGAATGATCAATAAGGTAAAAACAAAACTCAAGAGTAATGGCTTAAGGCTTAAAGGAATCACTGCAGCTGATTGACATCCCTGTTCATGAGTCTGCCATATGCATATCATGGAGCATCGTTGCATGGAGCAGGTGTCCTCCATGGCGGGACATTACGGAGGAAGCAGCTCATGCCTGAAGTTTGCCAAAGAGCGCCTTGACAGTCCACGATGTTACTGGGAAAATGTTTAGTGGGCTGATGAAACTAAGGTTGAATTGTGTTGGAAGGACACGCAGCACTATGTATGAGCAGGGGCTTGGACAGCTCGCCATCATCAAGGGGAAAATGAATTCCCAAGTTTATCAAGGTCTTTTGCAGGATGTCAGGATGGCTGTCCACCTGCTGAAGCACAGTAGAAGCTGGGTGACTGCAGCATGTCAATGACCCTAAACATCAAAGTGAATCTACCACAGAAAGACTTCAGACAAAGGAATTGTTGGAGCGGCCCAGTCAGAGCCCAGACCTTAATCCAGTAGAGATTCTGCGGAACGACCGAAAGAGAGCAGTTCACACCAGACATCCTAACAATATGGCTGCGCTGAAGCCGGTCTGTAGGAAGAACGGTCCAAAATTACCCCTGAACATTGTGCAGGTCTGTTCAGCAGCTACTGGAAGTGTTTGTTTGAAGTTGTTGTTGAAATCCAGTGGTTCATTTACTTTTTTCCCCCAGGCACAGGGAGTGTTTGATGGGTGTGTTCAGTAACACAGACACGAAGGACTATAATTGTTTGTGTGATATAAGCTTAAGCACATTGTGTTTGTCTCCACTACCCATTTTATGACCAATGCAGAACACAAGGTCATTCCAAAGGGTTCATATACTTTCTCTTGCCACTGTATATGAAGGGATCCCTCATCACTAAGCGGTTCTGTTGCTAAGCTTTAGTAGGGTATGTAACTGTTTGCTGTCTGCTTTGGTTCGATTAAAGCCTTGAAAAAAACAAAACAAAACAAAAAAAAAACATCAACAGCACTCAAGGACATGAAGCAGGTTGTGACGTTTATATTTCTCAAAGAGATCATTGGACTTTTCACAGTGAACTTAACCTGTAAAGTGCAGGGCAACACTGTGGACTCTTTCTACACTTGTGTGAGTCCATACAACACACACCGCTGACACACAAAAAATACATCAGCATGCCTGTGTCGGCCCTCTCAAGAGGACTCTTGGAGATTTGGAAGTATGGAGCCTTCTCCACTATCTTGATTAAAGCAGACAGCCTTTATGGGCACAAATTGGACCCATTGCTGATAAAGTAACTGACTCTGCAAATATCACAGCTGATTGGGCTGAAGAGTTCAACACTGCAGGTGATCCGGGTTTATTGCTGATTTGTGGAAACAGTCGCAGACCACACCAGTGCAAGATTGTGAAACCAGCACTTTTTACTTCATAAACATCTGATCCAGAGAAATCCAGCCAACTGGGGGATGTGGCATTGTTCTTACTGACTATCATCAAATCAACATATTGTGCAAGGAGAAACCTGACCACTCAGAGGAATGTGTGCAACGTAACTTAATACAAAAGATAATAGAGCGTAGCAAATGAAATCAGGACTAATTTTCTGTTCAGGGTACAATTTATAACCTTAGCTCTTGTCTGCATTTAAATCAGAATGTGTTGAAATGGTATGCTGGTTAACAAAAACAAGATTTAGTGCTGCTAACACTGATTAAGTGAGATTTCAAACAGTCTTTATTTCATTCTGACTCAGTTTTCATGCCTTATTAACAAGGACATCCCCCGTCTTTCTGACAGGATCTTCCCTGAGTCACTGCGTTGGTTGCTGGCCACTCAGCAGTACTGCCGCTCCAAATGGATCATGGGACACATAGCACAGAAAAACCGAGTGAACATGGAGCTTGACACGGATAATATCCTCACAGGTAACATACACATTGACATTCATTTTAAAGATATCGGCATTAAAAGGCTGCATTTTACTCTCTGTGATTACTATATGTATTTAGTGATACATTTCTATGTTAAACTACTCTTGTCTTTATATATTTGCTGCATTTTTTTATTTGATTTTTGTAGGGCAGGGTGTATAGTAGTATCCCCCCCATCTGTGCTTCCCTAAATAAGCCAGATTGACAAGGTTATATGTAATTCCTGTCTTGTTACCATAGTAACATTCCACCCCAGAGGTAGCAGTGGGTGTTGAACATTACATTATGACACTCTAGAACGTTCATTAATTTCATTATAGCCTGGATGGGTGCACATAGTCTGACATGATGGTGTACAGTCGGCAGATGGACGCAGGTCAGGCACTTTGACCCTGGGTTAACTCTTAATGTCTGTGCTCAGAAGCCCTGTCAGAGGCAAAGAGCAGAGGGAGGAGCTGTGCTGTTGTCAAATATTATAGCAGACTGCTTTTGTATTACGCTTCAACAGTGCTCTGTTTTTGACCTGCTATTGCTTTCTGTAATTATCAATACATTTTGAAAAAAAAACAACAGCTAAGAAAGGGCTCAAAGAGAAACCACTCAGTGTGAAATTGACTGCCCTTTTTCAGAACTCAGAGACTGTGTGCTGATGCAGCACACAGTCAATGTACATTGCCATAGACATTGATTTAGCCTATCTTGTTTTATAGTAACTGGCTGTCCCCAACTCTTCTAGTAATATTTCCTACTTTCAAGTGCTGAGCACTAAATATAATGCGTGGCACTGGATGTACTTACTGTTGCCACAGAAGAAAAGCTGAGGAATGTTTTCATACATGTGTAAGTACCAATTAGATCATCTTTGGGAAGTGAGCAAAGTGATTTGCATAGATCTCAGTAGGGATCGACTTACTCAGAGGTTTGTAGCTCAGCCAGGGGTTCACTGTAAGGCCTGAGTGATACAGTCAGAGATAACCTTGAGGCAGCGATGTGGAATGCCGTCACATGCCTGAGTCAACATGAGCAGACAGTACCGCAAAGCAGAGGTGTGTTTCTGTGGCAACCCGCACTCCGATACCAAAACATCCACCGTGTGCAGTGTGAAATATCACCAGCAGCTCAGGGGTGTGGCCCTGTCAGGAACTAGTCCTGTTCCTCTGTGAGCATTGTCATACCTGTCTCACAACAGCAGCAGCAGGAGAGCGGGAGTGTGGGATGAAACACGCTCATTAAAAATACATGTTGAATTTCCTGTGGTTGCAATAAATCAGCTTTTGAGGATCCAGACTGCAGTCGAACTTTTCTTTGACCTGATAACTCATTTTGAAATGATATTAACTACAGCTCAGCTGACACTGTATCAGCAGGTTGATACGAAGTGATCAAGCGTCCAAATGAAACTAAGGCTATTGCACTTCAGACAATTCAAAATGACCATCCTTTTGCATTGCCTGCCTCTTAATGAAACTATTAGAATTATTATTGGCCAGGCTCTAAGATTGATTTGTCCGCTTGTTTCCAGAACTGCAGAGAGCTCTCCAGAAGAAACCCAAAAAGACGTGCATTGTGAAAATGGTCGGGACGAGAAACCTGTGGAAGAACATTGTTGTGCTCTGCGTCAACTCGTAAGTGTTTGTCTTATGTGTTAGCACTTATAAAACTGTTTGGACAATTGTGTGTCAAGATGCTAATGTACGTGGGAGGGTCAAAAAACAGAGAGAGGGGAAAAAAGAAAAAAAGGTGCATGTGCGTGCTTGTACAGTATGTGTGTGTAGGGCGAGGCAATGCCAGTCAGGCACAACATTTTGTACAGTTAAGAAGCCGCTATTAACCTGGAGGCTCGATATAACATTGATCAGTGGACCTCAATGCTTTTGTCCTTGCTGCTCTCTCTTTTCATCTCCAGTGGGATCTCTCCCCCTCTCTCCATCTGAGACCTCATCCGTAGCTAGGCAGACCCAGTGTCCCTGACTCCCGAAGTCAGCATAAATTTTACATGAGCTGTGTCCTTAGGAAACATTAGACAGCCAGGAGGAAGGGTGTGAGTGTTTGCTTGAGTTTTTTTTATTTTATTGTGTGTGTAAGCTTGTGGGGTGTATGCTTTATGTGTCAATAAGCCAGTGTTTACATCTGTGCTGTTTTTTTTTTTAGATACTTTGAGATGAGAGCAAACATAATATGGTTCCTCTTCCTCTTCTCTCTCCACCCAGCCTCTTTCTGTTCTTATTGTCTTCTCCCTTTGTGTATATGATTTTATTCCTTTTTTTCTCTGCTCTCCCTTTGCTTTTTTCTCTCCTTCATACTGTCACTTACCCTTTCACTTCCAATTATTGTCCAATATCCTCTCATTTAACCTCTGTAGTCTCTGATACTTCTTTGTTTTTACCTCACTACTTTCCCTCTGTATGTTTTTGTACGCAGGCTAACAGGCTATGGGATCCACCACTGTTTTGCTCGCAGCATGATGGACCCTGAAGCCCAGGAAACCACCATGTTCCATAACTTCTATGCAGACTATTACACCATGGCAGGTATTGCGGTGGCGTCCTGCATGGCGCTGTGCCCAGCAGTGGGTCTGATGGGGCGGCGGGGTGGCCTTCTAATGTTCATGATCATCACTGCCCTAGCATCACTGCTGCAGCTGGGTCTGCTCAACCGTGAGTACATTATGAAAGACACTATGTCAACTTCTATTCCTTTCTTGAAAAGTGACACCACCATGATGTAGTTTATTGAGTTTATTATTAATATTTTAATAGCGAGAAGTATCGAATAAACTCTGAAGTTTAAAGTATAGGACACAGAATTCTCCAATTCTCCAAGAGTTCTTGGTTGCATTAAAGAAACAGCTCGGCATTTTGGGAAATAGATTTCTTCGCTTTCTTGCTGAAAGTTATATGGGAAGATCAATACCACTCTCATGTCTGTGTGCTAAATATTAAACTGGTGCCAGCAGGCGAGTAACTTAGCTTAAAAACTAGAAGCAGGGGGAAACAGCTAGCCTAGCTCTGGTCAAACTAAAAGAAAAATCCCCCATTAGTGCAGCAGATAAGCTTGTACGTGGAAGGTTCTAATGCATTTTATGACTTAAGCATGAAACTGTCTCCACTGCTTGTATAAACCATGAAGTTTATTTTCAGACGTGGAGGCATTTCAGATGTGACCTCTGGGACAGGACAGATCCGCCTGGAGTAATGAGTGTGGTCCAGACCAAACTAGCATTCTAGCTTCTGATCAGAACGTTCGCTAATGTGCTAGCTAGTCATGTAATTCCACAGAACACACAGCAGAAGTTGTCAGTGTTTTTAACAAGCTAGCCTATAGCTACCTTAACACCTGAAAGTGGTGGGGTCTGCAGTGAAAATAGTGCTCTAAGCAAAATCCTGTTACATGGCCATAGCAGCAAATAAGCATCTTTATGCAGTTTTGGCAAAGATATACATGATAATAATGGAGAAATGGGGCAAGAACTGGAAAAATGCGATGCTGAGGTCAATGACTTCTCAAGGTCACCAGAGGTTGGACACAAATTGCCTCCACATTGGAGTATGTAGATTATAGGCTGAAACTTTCATGCTTTAGTCATAAAATGCACAATTGTTTTGCCTATCTGCCCTGGCCTGGCTAAGAAGTAGTTACAGCATGTAACTTCCCATAAAACCAAGACTTACTGTTTTTACATTATCACATGTGTTACAGATAAGACAAGCAAGATATAACATGTAAATTGGAAAAATGTAGAGGTGCTTACATATTTTAATTATGGAAAACTAATCTTGAGGCTGCATGCTACAGACACAGAAAATACTGAGAGAGACTAAGGCATCGGCCTTTTTATGAGATTTTGTGACATGTGAGGAAAATATAGCTTCATCCATTAATTTACAAATTAACTGTCAAACAATTTACCGAATACAGAAAATAAGGATACATGTTTCGTTGCAGACAGTTTTAATGCAGCTGTAGTAGCATTTGAAATCCTGTGCTTCCTGCTGTAAAAGCTCACATTCATTGTTGTGAGTGGACCCTGTCAGGGCGTAGCTACCTTTAGCTGTTTGTAATGGCGTAGTCGAACATGATTACAAATTGCTGTTTTAGTCAATGTGTGCCAAGAAGTGCTCCAGATGATCAAAACAGTACACAAGTCGGCTCATTCAGTTACAAATGAGCAAGACTTAATGTTTAACCTGAGTCAACACATCAAGGTTATGCTCATGTTTCATGTTCCCAGTTGGAGCTGTTTGTTTTGTAACACTATGTTGACAATTTTTTCGTGCAACATGTGTGCATGTTTTTCTTTGTAATGTTTGCCTCTGGATTTACTTCATTATCGGAGTGCATGTGATGTTACTGTTTTTGTGTTTCTCACTCTCATATATCTGCTGATGTCTTTAATTTTCCTCTAGTGCTGGGGAAGTACAGTGTCCATCTGAATATAGGTAGGATCATGTCTTTATTTCTATTCTTAAGCCTTGTGTTTGCTGATAATGTCTGTGTTGGGTAGATAAACTAATCAGTAACTGAGTGCTCTTGCTTAGATGTTTTTTTTTTCCTACTATGATATTTATCAGCTGCACATTCTTTCAAAGTGTAAATTGCATCATCTTACATGATGACTCTTATCACATCACTTGGGTTTGCTGCACTATCTTGATGAGGTTTCCGAAAATGTGCTTCATTCAGATATTCTACAGTATTTCATTAGGCGAATACAAGCCCTGCAGAGACCTTTAATGAAGTCCTAGATGTAATTATGACTAGCTTTTCACTTATTTATCCCTGTTGTGTTGAGGAGGGTGAGCCTCTTTGTTATAGAGCTATGAATCTCAACTCCTTCTTTGCTCTCCTCTGTTTATCAATCTCTTTATTCTCTCCACACTAATCCCCCTGTGGGAAGCTAGAGCTGATCACAGAGCAGTCTCCTCTGATCCTCTCTATGCCATCTTCAACGTCTTATTCATAAAAAAAAACAAAAAAAAAAACAAAATTAAGATGGTTTGTATTCAAACCGTATTTGGCCTAAATGGGCTCTTTGTAGCCTCTTTGTGTGCAAGCCTGTTCCTCAGTAACTTGTCAAAATAAACATTAGTGCTACTGGGAAACCGAAACATTTTATTTGACCAAAATTTATTGGCACTTAACCTCCAGGTTTTCTCAAAGGCAGTTAGGAAGTAATTGTGATGATAAGTTTTACAAAAACTCCTAAAGTTTCGGAAACTATTTAAGTTGCTTAAACATGTCGGCACCTAGGTGGCTCACCTGGTAGAGCATGTACCACATAGGCTTAGTCCTAACCGCAGCGGCCATGGGTTTCGAGTCTGACCCGCAGCCCCCTGCTGCATGTCATCCCCTCTCTCTCTCCCTGAATTTCCTGTCTATCTCTCACTGTACTGTCCGAATAAAGGCAAAAATGCCCAAAAATATAACTTAAAAAAAAGTTGCTAAAATTCATTTCAAAATGAAGACTTGAACATTGGGGCTATGATACCAGGTTACTTCCTGTCAGTCACAAGATCCAAGAAATAAAAGTTCAGATGAGTGATTGGAAACTTAGGACACTTGAATTTTCTGATCGTCTTTGCTTCCATAAATCCTTAATTTTGGTAAATTTGAGCTGAATTGTTCCATTGGTTCCTCTCTGTATGGTGTTAAATAAAGAAATGCTGCAATATCATCAATAAAAAAAAAATCAGAATAATTTACCTTAATATTTTAAATATGCTGTGCTTCAAAAGCAGAAAAAAAATCTTTTTTTTTTTTACTAACTGCTCAGGGTACTGCGTCTAAACTTCCATATGTCTCCTGCTTTGTCTGCAGATAGCTCAGGTACGCTGAATAAGAACTTCTCTATAGCCTTCTCCATCATCGGCATGTTCTCCTCCCACGCTGTCAGCAACCTGAGCATCTTCTTCTGTGCTGAGATCACACCCACAGTGATCAGGTAAACCTACCGGAACGCAGAAACTGTACCATCACAGGAGGAGGGCAAAATGTGAAAAACTTTTTTCTCCTAAGAGGAGTAAATTATGTTTTTTTTTTTTACATGCTTTGTCAATAGACTTTGTATAATGGAATTCTAAATGTCATAAATCTGCAAGTAATAAGAAAAATCAAGGTGTAAATTCTTTTTACACCTGACTAGCATGTAATTTGGATATTACAGAGGTTGGTTGTCATAACATGTTCCTCCAGATGGATCAGCTGCTCCTCTTCCTGTTAAAGTCTGGGTATGAAATCATTGAGCTGCTGGAAACAACAGAGTCTCACAGTTCAGTGTCAAATGTAATCCACGTCTTGTACAAATTAGCCATTCCCTCTGAGAATATATGACACAGCACTGGAAAGTTCATTATCTGGGGTTATGTAAGGGGGGTGTTGTTCTGCTGACAGTGCTTCAAGGGCTCCATTTGGTGGTGAATTTAAGCAACGGCAGGAGAGGAATGAGACTGCATGCAGAGGAGGGCGTTTGGTGGTACTGCAGCACTCTCTGCTGCTGTCTGATAAAATGGCAGTGATATGTCAACGGAGGCATACAGCAAAAATAAGAGCTTCCCTTTATATGCATGATTTATGTGATAGTTCTGCAGAACACCACATAGATTTGATTTAATTCAATTCTAGTGAATTTAGTGGTTGGGTGGTTTATAGGTTTATGAGGTTTGAGGTTTGTGTGATCATAAATCCTACCAAGTGACAACACTTTCTGTCTCCTCATAGGGGTGGCGGTCTGGGCCTGGTCCTCGCCAGCGCTGGCTTCGGCATGCTGACTGCACCCATCATGGAGCTCCACAATCAGAAGGGCTATTTCCTTCACCACATTATCTTTGCCTGCTGCACTCTCATCTGCATCATCTGCATTCTCCTGCTGCCAGAGACCCGCTACCAGCCCCTCCCTGAGACTCTGGCCGATGGCGAGAGCTACACTCGTCAACCTCTCCTTCCCCCGAGGAAACCTGGAGAACAGCGCCTCTTGCTGGCCCAATCCGAGAGCAGCAGGGACTACACCAGGGTGCATGACACGCCACTCCACGAGGCAGCTGCCACTGCAGTGTCCACCATGGACTCCACTGCCTCCTCTGCTGTTGATTTGACCGCTCCGTCGGTCGGAGATATGTCTGCGCCCACATTCATGGAGGTGCACCCTGGCAAGCCTGAGACTAAAGACCCCAACGGTCAGTCAGTATCATCTTTATCCATGACCCCCATCACAGCGCTGGCTAAAGATGGCATCATACATGCCAGCAAAGAGCACCTGCTGTCTTCCACTCCTTTACACAAATCCCCCTGCATCACAGACCCACTGTTAGCCGATGCTGATGAACCTCCAGCTACAGTCCAGGATTCTGTTGAGGCCTTGACGGATTCTACTCTTCCTGAGATGAACGACACTGGTCCTTCTCCTACAAAAGAGTCAGCTGCTACCCCAGCCCCTTCACTGGACTCTTCCCCTCCCCCCGTCCCTCAAAGTACGCCTGCCTCCTTACTGATCTGCACCACACCCATCATCGAGCCCCCACCGAGCTCCATGTTAGAATCCCCACACCCCCTAAGTAACGACATTGACAATATCAACCTGAAATTTGACCCAGCTTTGCCAGAGGACACTCAGGCCACTTTAGCTCCCACTACTGCTCTGTACGACTCTCCTGCTCCACCTATGCATGACAGCCTCCCTCCATCCCCTGCTCCCTCTCCTGTTCCTATGACAGACTGCAACATTTCCACTGACCCTCCACCCTCCATTAGCACACACTCTGACATTCCTATCCAGTTAGAGATAGTAGATGAGTCTACATCAACTAGAGACTCCCCCGTACCTCCTATTATAGACTCCCAACCACCACAGTTAGACTCTACCTCTCCCTGTGTTAATGATGTATCTCCTCCCTCCCCTACTCCTCCTAGCCTAGTCACTGTTTCACCTTCACCCACTCCACCTCCACCCATTGACTCAGGCCATTCGCCCTCACAGGACTCTTCCACTCCCCCTGTCATAGATACTGTCAGCAGCACCGCACCGCCTCGTACCATTCTCCCCGTCACAGACATTGTGCACACCTCCACTCCAGAATCAACCGCTCTGACTGTCACGGACGCTGAACCAGATTCAGCTGCTTCCCTCGTCTTAGATTCAGTACCAACTTCCATCACAGATTCAGGCTCTACAGAAGCAACCCCTTCCTCTCTAATGGACTGCACCGTCTCCTCCCCCATAGACTCTGGTGTCCTCCCCATCAGGGACAGTGCCAGCACAGAAAACAACACTGTCAACGGTGTGGCGTCGTCGTGATCCAGTGTTGCAGCCAGGAAAAGAAGCTTTATGGTTGCACCAGGAGGCAGCCCACGTCCAATAAATATCTCGAGTGGGGGTGGGTGAGGGTGTGTGGGGGTGCAAGAACTGTCCTGCTCAGACTTCAGGCACTTCATGGAGACTGTCCCCACCTGGAGTTGAGTAGACATTTCTTACAGAGTTGTTGTACGTTTCTCAATACCCCCCCCCCCACCCCCCCCCAC